CACCCAATTACATTAGATGAACTTAGAGTTATTTGTTTTTCATTAGGAAAATCGGCTGGAGTAGATAATGTTAATGCTAGAGTTATTCAAGATTGCTTTCATGTCATTGGCCACATCTTTCTGGACCTTATTAATGAATCATTGCAGAATGGACATGTGCCACAAATTTGGAAGGAATCCTTAGTGATTCCTATTCAAAAAGTTGCTGGAACGATTAAAGCCGAAGAGTTTCGTCCCATCAACATGTTGCACACATTAGAGAAAATTTTAGAACTTGTTGTTAAAGGCCAGCTGTTGGAGTATTTGAATAGCAACTCTTTGTTGATACCAGAACAATCGGGATATCGGGAAGGTCATTCTTGTGAAACTGCATTGAATTTGGTGTTAGCAAAGTGGAAAGACAACTTGGAGCGTAAAGATACGATTGTTGCTGTTTTTTTGGATCTGAAACGCGCTTTTGAAACAATTTCTAGGCCCTTACTGTTAAGTACAATCAAGCGCTTTGGAATTACGAGTACTGCATATAAATGGTTTGAAAGCTATTTGTCTGACAGAACTCAACGGACTGTTTTTAATGATTCTGTTTCCAGTCCCGTGGGGAACAACCTTGGAGTGCCCCAGGGAAGTGTATTAGGGCCCCTTTTATTTATTATGTATATTAATGACTTGCGACGTGTTTTACGGTTTTGCGACATTAACCTTTTTGCAGATGATACTGTGTTATTCATTGCAGCTAAGGATTTAGAAGTTGCCGTCTCACACTTGAATGAAGATTTGCAGTATCTAAGTAGATGGTTGAAGTGTAAGCAGTTAAAATTGAATACAAGTAAAACTAAATTTATGGTAATTTCGCGGAATCGATTAAATGAGAACGTCTCTGTTGTAATTGATGATGAGAATATTGATCGCGTTCAGGAGATTAAATATCTTGGCGTGATTATTGATGACAAACTTAAGTTCAACTCTCACATTGACAATGTCATCAAGAAAATTGCCAAGAAGTATGGAATTCTATGTCGATTGAAAAACGATTTAACTATTGCCAGTAAAATACAGCTATACAAATCAATCATCTCTCCTCATCTAGACTTTTGCCCATCCATTTTATTTCTGTCGAATGCAACACAAATATCGAGATTACAGCGCTTGCAGAATAAAATAATGCGTTTGATTTTGAGATGTAATAGATTCACTTCCTCAACTTTGATGTTAGACGCCTTACAATGGTTGTCGGTGAAGCAAAGAATTGTATATTTGACTATGGTGTTCATTTTTAAAGTAGTTAACGGTTTGCTGCCTCGATATTTGTGTGATCGAATTGAAAGAGGAAGTGACTATCATAGATATAATACTAGAAACGCGGATGAAATAAGAACACCACATTTCTTGACTTGTGCTTCACAGAATTCATTATTTTTTAAAGGAATAAATGTTTTCAATTCGATGCCTAGACACATTAAACGTTCAACAACATTAGCAGAATTTAAGAGACATTGCATTTCACACGTTAAAACTGTCTTTTGAACGGTTATCCAGTGATTTTTTTTTTTATGAATTGACAAATTATGTATCTTGACGAAGTTATTTTTAACGGATTACTTTGTATGGATAGCTGTTATAACGACTTTTTAATAATTATTGTAGCACTGCAAAAACTATTTTGTTCGCCACGATGGTGATGATGGATTTTTGATATATGATTTAATAGTAGTAGTAAAAAAATAGTAGTCTACAAAGGTTTGAGCCTCGCGCGCGTATTACGGATATAGAGGACTGAATTTAACATTTGATAAAAAAAAATGCAATTTTGAAGCTTATTTGGAAGATACCTTGAGTTAGTAGTAAGTTTTCTGGCAAATGTTGGGGGTTCGTGAGCATTCCTGACATTGCTGAAAATTATGATAGCATCAGATTGCGGGGTTACTAGTGTAATAGGATGCTTTGTTGATTGTTCATTAACTCTTGATTGCTTGTAATACTTATGAATATTTTAGGTGGACAAAAAGGCGAACTAAGAGGTGGACGCCTGAGCTTTTCAACATTTATATCGCTGTGAAGCAACTGTAAACTCTAGAGGGAATTTATATCTGTAACTGAAACCAGTTCGATTTTGTTTGCCAACCTGGTTAAAATGTCATATTTAATTATCTTAAAGATAAATCGTCCAGCTCAAACCTTTGTAGGGGTAAGAGGTGGGACCATCATCATCATCATCATCATCATCATCGTAACAAATCGTTTTTTTGTTCTTCCTTGATTTGTTTTCCGTCGATCTTATTTTCCGTGCTGAGTACCAATGCCCCCGGCACCGGGGAAGCAGCTCCCACTCCTGGACCCTACCTATCGATCCATCAACTCATAGATCGGGCACCAACGGCTTTACTTCCCTTCCGAAGACAAATCGTTTTGATGACTGTAATATTCTAGCAACGTTTACCAGTTATTGATATTCAATACATCATCATGTTATATTTGTTTGCTGTATCCACATTAAAGTTATCAGTGGTGATAGAAATGGCACTCATTAGTGATGTATTACCACGTTTGAAAACTTGTTTCCAGCAAAAGAAAAATCGCACTAAACAACCCTAATAAATTTGTTATGGTTATTTTGCTTAACGACGTGTTCGGGGTATCATCCAAACCATTTGTTGAAAAGTCTCCTTAATAAAGATATGAGAAAATAGTTCAATGATTTGAGTTATCATTTCCTTATGGTATTTTTTACAAGGGAAACAAAACAAAACCCTAATAAAAGTCTGAGCCTTTGTAAATATCTTGTATTTCACCGGCGCCGGTGGTGTGACTGCGTTACTGCTTTCTCACCCCAATGGGTCTGGGTTCAAGCCTAGCCGAGGTTAGTGGGATTGTTCTGAGGCATAAACATCTCTGGTCACGTCTTCCTTCGGAAGGAAAGTAAAGCCGTTGGTGCTGGCCCATGTGTGTTGACTTGGTGCGATATCCTACGCAGGTGTGGAAGCTGCCTTCATGTACATTCAATTGCCGTCAATGGATGGCAATCGATGTCCGTCGATGATTGGCACTAGATTGCGGAACAGAGACCGACGTTAAATAAAGGAAAAAGAAGGCTTTGTAGTTCTGCAAAATTCAATCAAAATCGACATCACTGACTTGCATATAGGGGAAATGACGGCTTCGGCATGACAGACTATTTTCGGCAACCCAAATTGAAACACTATTTTCACTGGATTTTCTTACGAAAACACTTCGCTGAATGCATGCAAACGATTCTTTATGCTTTCAGCTTCAATTTGACTATATTTTTACCACTGAGAAAAAGCAATCTAGCAGTGTTTTTTTGAAATGAAACACACGCACTACAAATTGTAGCTGATTTCGAGTTGCCGATAATAGAGCACCAGGAACGGTTGCCGAAGAAAAAATGGTTGCCGACAATACTCGCTCTCACTAGAGAAGATTGGAGCTTTGTAAAAGCGTTTCAAAACAGTTTTTGACAAAACAGTTAGAGCAGCTGGCAGCAGAAGATTATAAACAAACCAATACTGCATATGTGTGCGTCCCATATAGAAAAAGGCTATAGAAAGAAGGTCGCTGCTTAGGTTGCCGAGAATACGTAAATTCCCCTATATTTTGTTTTTATTCAACACAGCTGGTGTGTTGACAGATCGAGGGAAAAGCAACTAGTGAAAAAGTAGCATGAACGAGTGTAAACTCGACAATCAACTTCACTTTATTTAACCCCTCATTTTGGTAAGCTTCAATTCCTGAATTGCATAAACTCAACACTCAACCTTCACCATATGCATTGAAAGTAGAAATGCAAATAAGTGCTCCAGAAAGTCAACAAACCACGGAAACCAACGTCGACATAAAGTTGAGATTTGATTCGCTCGTAAACACATGACGAGACTAAAGACCCAGCGCGGAAATTATCGCAACTTTTCACTCGCGAGAGCTATTCATTAGCGATGTTGCTGCGTGGTGATTGCATGTACCTAGGTAACTACAGATATGCGATTGTTTACCGTACGCTGACGATCGGAATGAGGAAAGTAAAAACGGCGAAAGCATTCCACTTATTTATTTATCAAAGGTATATATGAACAGAACCATCAGCAAACAAAATACTTCTTGTAGTCACTTTCTTCGGCGAGAGGAGGTCCGTCGATGGAAGCATGCTCGTTCACTAGGGTGAGTCAAGTATATATGGCGGATCACAAAGCCAAATTGGATCGAATTTGGTTACTATCTGGATTTTAACTTTAAAGTTTGTATGGGAAAATGTATGCATTACCATAATTCATAAAATGTTCAATTTTGATCAGAGGTTGGAAAAACTATGCAGAACAACATTGTCGATGATTGTAAATCGAGTGGAATTCTGTGAAATAGTTATTATTTATTTACTTTAGGCCTAGTGTACCAAGTATGCGTGGACCACTTGGCCGAAAGTAAAAATTTAGAAACTGATGTCGAATCAATTTGCTATCTTCGACAAAGTTGTTCTGCATAATTTTCTCAATCCAAGTCCCAAGGTTGGTAAACATTCAGCAGTTGTTGAGAAATAGGGGCTTGGTAATTTGACTCACCCTAATGTTCACTTCTTACTAGACGTTTTTGTTCGGCCTTTGGATAAAGGCTACTGCTCTTCAAAACGATGCATTAATATTTATTGAACTACTCGGCGTAATTGTGCCAACGACCGTTAGATGATGATATGTAGCACAATAAAAGATTGTGCAGAATTAAAATTCGCACATTAATGCCACGCTGAGGAGCTCGAAAATGAAGAGCCACCGCATAATGTGTGGCACAGATTTGGAATTTGCAAGCGTTTGATTGAGATACCCTCCGGATGGGGTAAGCGATCGAGATCGGTGATTGGCGCAGTGTGGTGGCATTCAGAGAATTAATGAGCGGTTTTTCTTATTCTAAATAGGTTAAAATTCCGAGATTTTGGTTTCAACCTCTTCACTTTCGAAAAATCGGGGAAAATCAATCGAAAAAAAAGCACTTACCTTTAATACTGTGAAGAAAAGCACAAACGTCGCGACCAAAGATCGCGATCCTCTGCCCATGGTGATCGTTTGTGTGTGATAGTGAGTTTTTTGTTTTGTTTTTAGCACCGTTCGTGCTGATTCCTGTTGAGCTGGCTATTTCGGAGGGGTGGTGGTGGGTAACCGTTTGGTTTTGTTTTTCGATTTAGTATGAAATTTTGGCGATTTGTTTTGGTCTTGCTCGTTCTGCGGAAAGGATCAGGACGGGAAGCCGTCGATCGGCTTCAGGTAGGAAGGGGGGAAATCAATCCGATAGGGTTGTGCCGGATTCGCGCGGGGTGTGCTGAAATGAGAGGTAAATATAGAGATGATTGGTTAGATGTGGTTTTTTGGGAAGTGTTTGAAGAATCGAAAGAAAAAAATGTTTTCGAATTACATATATTTCGATATTTTAAGAGATGCTGAAATTTCAATAATGGATGTTAAGCTGTCATTAACTCGCATTTTTTGGCGCAACTGCACCGACGTACCTGCATAGCATAAACGAAACGACAAAAAATTAGATTTAAAGATGAACATCTAAGTTCTGCATAGTGTTGAGAAAATATCATAAAATCAAATCTCAGTCTCTCCGATAATCACGCTTGATTTTCGTCAAATATTAACAATCAAACATCACCTGATGATACTAAAAGTTGTGATACCGTTGCTCCTAATATCAAACTAACAAAACTCACCAGCTACGATTATTACCAAACTGTGGTGTATTTGAATTTCAAGATTTTTGCTTTACACCCGAATGCAACCCGAAACTTCCATCACTGATGGCAGCAGTAACTTCGTGTATGGCATGGGTGAAGAGTAAAGAGAGATAGAAAACTTGTCGATGTGCAACGGAATCAATTTTGCGTCGAGTCGTATGACAGCCTGAAAAATATAAGTTTTCAAATGATTATACCATCACTGGTCCTTTATAAATAAGGATAGAATTTACATGAGCCAGATGGCAACCCAAGTTACATTGCAGGTTTTATTGCGGTTTTATAGCATTATACAAGTCTAAATCATGGTCTACAGAACCCTCATAAAACCAAATTGTTACTTGATAATAAAGGCATTCGTCTTGGAATTTGGGTTATGCTGACCCGCCCTTGAACTAATATTTTGAAATAGACCATTCGATGTAAGCTAAATCCTAGACTAAAACTGTGTATTATAAATTCAAATCACTTTATATTATATCAAATTCAGACCCCTGATCAATGTTCAGAATAATCCGGAGAAGTTCTGAAAAATGTTCAAATTAAGTATCCTCAACATGGGTCTAATAAGCAGCCATCAATTTTGTTTTCAATCATATCTCAACAAATATTTAACCTACAGATGATATGGCACTGTTAACATACATGCTGATGTAAGCTTAGTATTTCGTTAACAATTGAACACTATAAGATAACTTACAATTTTCAATTAAAAAGAGCTTGAAATGTACTCCATTCCTCTCTTAAGTAAGTGATTCGTTTGCTAACTAAGTTGTGATGTATTATGATTGATATGCTTGATAAGCCAAATCGTCGAGTTAGGCCTAAATTACATACCTAAATCCCATTCAGCTTGAGAATCTAGAAAATCTCTCTTTTTGCAACTGAATGTGTGCTGCATGGCATAGGATAGAGAGTTTCTTTAACCTAAGCGACAATTTGGTCCTATCGGGCAGAAAACTTCAAATACCTATATCTATGATTTCCCCGTGAACATATCAATCACAATCGCATATTATGAATATTGACACTCCTCTTTTGAGAAGAAAGGCATTCTTCTTTCTATTTTCCTGCTGAATGAATGTTGTTTTGCTGTTCTGAAGTGGAGCCAAAAAGGGATTTGCATTTAATTTTGATGAAATCAATATCAACCATATCTGTACCGAAGAATTGAGAGCACGGTTTGCAAAATAACGGGAGTGAACGAGCTTGAATGTGTGCTAAATTGATGCTGTGGGCAAAGTCGGTGATACTCGTACAAACTGCGAAAAAGTCGGTTCCCTGAGACCGGCACATGTAAGCGGCCCTTTTGACATAAGAATCAGTTGAAAGAAACGAGAAATTCAATTCAGGCCTAAGTAGCACAATTCGGTGAAGAAAAGTTGCATCAACTTGTTTGTGACCAAAACAAGTCACATAGACGTTACTACAACCATTTTACGACAAGTTTACTGCTAGGGGGACGTTGTGGAATTAATTCTCAACCGAGGGTTTTGTCCAAGCGAGTGAATTTTATATTTCAGTTTCATTTCTGAAAATTCTTATAAATTAGCTAAGGACGAGACTGCGGACGTGTTCGTTATAGTAGTTTTAAAAATAGTTTAAGTTAAATAGCGTTCCACTATTTTTTGTTGCTTCTTTCGAAACACCTCGTAGATTAAGCGATGCGTTCCTTTTATAAAGATCGCGAATATCACGTGGTAGGTTATATGGGATCTTACAATAGTGCTTTGCATAAGGTTGGATTCTGGATGACCATTTTTTTTAAACGACCACCAAACAAAACATTTTATTAGTCAATCTCAACGAAAATTTAATGTTATTACAGTTGTTTATTGTGATGCAAGGGGCTCAGTGACCTAGTTGTGACCATTTTTCTTACTGAGCAGAAGATCGAGGATTGTACCTCAGGTCCCTTCACATTTACTGAGTTGTAAGGATCCGGAAATTCAGCACCAAACGAAACCAGATCTAATTTACCCTTCTGGAAAAAACGTCCTTCCGTCGATGCAGAGGTGCATTCGGTACGAAAAAGAAATAATGTTCACGCTGTGTTGGAACGTGTGCTCGATCCTGGAAATCATGGTTGGAGGTCATTTCCTTTGGGTGGTTTTTTTGCTGTAATTTTCTAGCTGACTTTTATATTTTAGGCAAACTGGATCGAACATTCCGTTCCGCAAATCAAATGTGTAGAGACAGCACTGACGTGACAGTCATCGGTCGGATTTATACAGTAATAACAACATCTTTACCGTTGGTTATAGTGATTTGTTAGAGCTCGATGGCCTTAGAACGGCCGTTTTTACCTTTTTGAGATTATTGCTTCGTATTGCAGAGTCGCTAGTATCGCATGGTATTTTTTACTCAGGTGAACACATCACTTCAATTCAGCGTATCATTTTAGATGATGTCCCAGTGATAAGTGCAGAGGATTTCTTGATTTCCAGCGCAGTGATTATCACGTCAAAATATTCCTACCCATTCTTTAATTGATTTGAATTTGGACGACACCAGCACTGTTATTGTCTATTGTAAAGTAGAGATCATTAAACATAGAGGATGAATGCTAGTTCTTAGTATCATCTGTTTGTTTTCTATCTAAGAAACCTTCATACATTCTGAACAAGTGACTTGGGTGCTCCTGAGAAAATTTAGTTTTTTAGCTCATTGATTTTAAGGACTTGTTAAAATACACATTTTTGTTACCACCCATTCACTGAAGTGGAAAATGGAAATTTAGCAAGACAATAAAGTGTGTGTGTCTTCTGTGAACCTTTTTAGCTTGAAAAGTTTCTTCTTGTGTTCATTTTTATAATTAAGATGCTCCTCAAATGGTTAATGAAAATAACTAACTTTTTAAATTTTGAAAATAAAGACACATGTTCTATGGCAAAGTTGTAGATGAAATGATTTCAAGCTACTTTGCTGAAGAAACATTTTTCTATCTCTTAACGTTCACTCAAATGATTCTGAAACGTCAAGAAATGGCATAAGAAAAACCAAAATAGCCTCGATTCACCGCACGAGTAGCAGTTTCAATATTATTACACTCTCTCGAAGAATATGATTTAGACTTGAAGAATGCTAAACCATTCAAGTATTAGAATGTTGATTTAGTAAACCTCATAAGTTGGCATACAAATACCAAAAAATTAGCTTTAAAAGTGTTAAAACAGCCTGAAATCAGAAACACTGTCACTGTTAAAGCTGTCCTTAGAAATGACAAACATATGAATAGCTCTATAAATAAATAATAAAACAAAACGAGATAAAAATAGAATTTTTAAAAACAATATCAGTCTAGATCGCAAAAAGGGGCATTCAAATTCCTAAATCCTATGAAAATATTGGTTATGCGAGGGAATCAAATGAAAAATTCTCAACCATCACCAAAAGGTCATAAACGTCATTCTGATTGAAGAATTATAAAAAAAATTAATTTGCTAGATTAAACTAAAAAAACATAACATTTCATATCTGAAGTTCTGCAACTCAACTATGGGCAGCCTGCAAGCCATTTGTGGTTTACGTTCCATATATTGAAAAACGTAGGTCTAGGAGAATCAGAGTGACTTTGTTTTATCAACTTAAAATTATATTCTAACATTGGATAATAGGGTGGTTCGAAATATCGATTTTGCTCAATCGATTCTAAGTCAGGTTCCGGATCATTATACACAACATCTTAAAACTATAGTCAAAGGTACAACACAATAAACACTTTATCTTCCGCTATCCAATAGGCATCCTCAATCAGAACGGCATCCGCTTCCAATGGTTTCATTGTATGGAAGTATCGCCATCGGGGGGCAGAGCGCTTTCATTGCAGCGATGGACGCAAAACGTAGTCAACACTCGCGCACTCATCTAAAAACGTTTGCTTTCCAAAGTTGACCGAAAGAACTGCTGATGAAGAACATTGAGGAGGACCACACAATGCAATGGTTGCTGCCGAGTAAACAGACCATCGCGTGACACACATCGAGAGTGGCCTACTTCTGTCGAAAGCCGAGTGAACAACTCTAAGAATTACTATGCGAAAAGTAAACTTTTAGTTCTTTCGTCATAATAGTTTAGAGGTCTCTAGCCTTCCATCATAACAATTTACGGGTAAGTTAGCTAATTTGACTTTCTTCAAATTTTCCCAGCTACAACTTTGCAGAAGACTACTTTTAGATTAAACGTTATTAATTGATTTTGAATCCTAAACTTTCTAATAATATCAATCAACTGGTTTCAGGGCAACACTGCTTCTTGCAGTATGACATAGTAGCCTGGATTTTGCTACTCCGCGCCAAGTACACCAATGTTGCCTGCTGGGTAGCTGATGAATCCTGCCACAAGGATATTATCTTCTTAATTACATAATAACTAATTATCCTGACGATCTGTGAAAAAGTAGTCTCCAGCAAAGTTGTAGCTGAAAAAATTCCTTTAAGCAAAGATAGCAAGCTTACTTGTCAATTGTTATAACAAAATGCTGGGGCTATGAGAACAAAAAGTTTACTTTTCCCCTAGTAATTCACATATAAACTTCAAAGGGGTCAATGCAGTATGAGATCACAACCAAATGGGCTTAAAT